AGTATTGTTTCAAAAGTAAATAAACCCAAAATTAAGAGTAACAAATATTTCTATTTCTTCCTTTCCAAGTTCATATGTCATACTGTGTTGAAGCCTACAGACTGCATAATTATTCTCGTGATTCATGGCATGCGGACGTTTTACTGACGCTACGACGGTACAAATTTCAACGTTGAGCATCCTTTATGTGACGTTATTTTAGTGTCTACTGACTGACAGACAACACACTACTTGTTTTTATTTATGCTAGCAATATATTAGTTACGGATGGTGAATAAAATCATCCGGAAAAACTGAATATTCAATATATCACACAAACACATGTTCTCTTTAGATATATATCGTCTTAGTTAAGTTAACGACATCAGCATTTTTTTTAGGATACACTTAAACAGTTACTGGTTAACAAACTAAACCACGTGTATATATATATATACAACTCTTCGAGAATAATATGAGAAAATCTTTCTGATATCTCATAATTCAGAGTACTTACAGATTTTCAGAACGTTAATAAAAAAACTGCTTGGTTTAACACTTGTTTTGTGAATTAATGTTTTCTTTCATTCACTGATCCTGAACTATTTTGACCACTTCCTCTTTGTAAATCAACTATGTTTTGTAACAAATTCTAAATAAATAGATACTTAAAGGTGAAAAACAATATATTAGACCATGTTGGCATAGCGTCGAAAAAGTTTAAACAAAGATTCGATAGTGTTTAGATCAATTATAGAAGGAGCGAGCTCTAAAACTGCGGAAGCATAAATTTAATATTTTAACACTTTTTGCTTTTGTGGCTTTAAACTTTTCTCAGTTAGAATTTTCAAATTAATTAATAAAAATATTTCATTTCTGGCATTACGTTTTTACATTAGGCACAGAATAAACCTGAGGTCCGTACTTGAATAACGAGGATACCTATTTTGATTTATCTGTTCTCAAGTGTAGTTAGGGTTTTAATATTTGACTACTGTGGAAAGATCAATGTTCAAATGTGAGCTGTAAAGAATGAAAAAAGCATTGTAAGCTCTAATATATTGTTGCGTCATCGAGTCACATAACTACTGTGACGCAACGTTTCTAGAACTATCATGTACTTTGGGGAATGTTCTAGTTCTTACTAGATATAGGGTAGGCTGGTATATAAAAGAGGGGAATGTAATGTCTGGGTAGATAGTGAGTAACTGATCTGCAGTCAGAAGTATTATTGAGCACGTTCGTCGTTACAGCGTTGTTTAGCGCGATTGTTGAAGTTGAGTGTATCGGTAAAGTTGTATTCGGAAAGAATAAACCAGTTTTTATTAAGAAAGAACTTATGTCGCTTAAGTTTCGTCGGAACGAAGTTACGGAAAATCAATTAACAAACGGAGATGTAACAATATATTGTGGAGATCAAGGGTTGGGATTAATATTCTAATATTTGATGTGAAAATGTTATTTTTTATTTCATAGAGTGAATTTATCAATTTTTTGTGATCGTCTTGTTACACCTGTCTCATTTTAAACTGATTTGAACCCTTTCAGATATTAAAATGTATTTGAAAAAGTATTTCTAAATATTATTTCATATATATCTGTTTTTATATTAAAACTAAATTTCTGATGTCAATATCTTGTTTCACAAAATTTTGCACATGACATTAACTTCACCTTGTGTGTGATTTGAGATATCGCAAGCTTCTGAAACGCCGTATAGTGGTAAAGTTGGATCTCCACAGTTACAAAGAGCCACAGTGACGTTCTGGATACATTGACGAATACAGCCCTGTCAAAAGTGGAGAAATTGAAATATTTTGAATGTTCAGATCAAATAATTTTCTTTAAGACTTTATTCAAAGTTATCAGTCACCTCTACAGTTAACATAATATATACAGACAGTCTTGGAAGTCAAAATTGTGATTATCTATGATACAAACACAGCTGAAAGTAAAATGTGCTCATTTTTCATTATATTATATTTTGAATACTTCTTCATAAAAGTTGAAAGATTCACCACTAATAGAAGAGTATTAAAAGCTAGATCTTTAATTTTGTAATTTGCTAGAGAGAGCTGCGGATGACACTAAGATCAAAAGGTTTAAAGAGATAGGCCTGACATACCTGGAGGTTTCCCGAAGATATGACGTCAAATTTACTAGTGTATTCTAAATTATATTATAAAAAGTCTATAAGTTAAGTAAGTAACCTTGTACAGTGAATCAGTCAGCGTCTTTATGTATTTGGATCTGTCTAGTTATAGACAAATTAGCGTGATCTTTCTTAGGCCTACAATGTTACAACGGTGTACAAGTAAAGGAAGCTTGTCAAAACGTCAAGGAAGAAATAAACTCATTTATCGTTTACACGAATTTGACTTTCAATTATTATCACCAGATAATTCAAAAGAATCCATTAAGAAAGAAGAACGTTACAACAGCAGAGTCGTTTTCATTTAGTTTCACATATAACTTGTAATTACATAAACGGTAGTTCAAAAAGTATTTCATCATTTCATAATTAACAAACGGATACACGCGGTTAAAAATGGTTTCGTTATTTTTTATAGACGCGCGCACACACATATACACAAAACTATTTTATACTTAACACGTACATAGACACACAATTTAAATATTTCGTCATCGTTAATAGTTATATATATCATCTGAAAAAGTATTTTGCCATCTTTTTTATTATACACACATTAACAACAACTTAAGACTGTTACTTCAACTTTTACAGACACAAATCAGTTCAAAAACACTTGAGAAATTACATCAGGGCTATGTAAGTTGGAACAAACTGGGTGAAGTGGCTTCACTTGCACAAATGCAAATTGCATTAGAGATTGGAAATGGAATGTTTATTATATCATATCAAAGTAGATTATTTTAACACATGCATAACAATTTCAATTTTCAATCATGCACTGTATTTGCGAATTGTTATCGTCTTTGTTGAATTGACGTTTCGCTTTATTAAGAAACAACCACACCAAGCCTACACGATTTTCATGATGTGGTCTTTATACGGATCAAGTGTTTATAGATAATATTATGTCTGCTTAAAAAAATACAAGAATCATACTCAGTACAAAACCAATGTTTGACACTGATCGTATAGAATAAGCTTACTTTTGATCAGAAGTTGTTAATAATGAGATATAAAAATAAATAGTTATGAGACTGTTGTCGAGAGTAGAACATTTCGTAACGTTTAATAATGGCTGGAGACAGCTTGAATGGGTAATGAAGAATAACTTTAATATAAGTACCTGATGATGACAAAACCTTTTCGAAACGTTGTACATTTGCAGTTATGTTAAACTTATATTAAAGTTATTCTTCATTACCCATTCAAGCCGTCTCCAGCCATTATTAGTCTCAAAGTGGGTTCCTCGTCATCGAATTTCATAACGTTTGTTTAATACTGTTACGACAGCGGGGGTCACGTGACCCTAGTAACACGTCATATTCTCGAAGGTTCGTGAAGTCTCGAGAGGCTACTAGATATGCGGTGGTCTTGTATATACAAACCGGTAAGAACTGACGGCAAGAAGGTAATGTGTAATTGACAGTTAAGTCGAGCACGTGAGACGTTCGTTGTGAATTATAGCGTCTGTGGAAATTAAGTGTATTGCAAAGTTGTATTCAGAAAGAATAAACCAGTTTTATTTAAGAAAGGACTTGCGTCGCTAAAGTTTCTTCGGAAGGAAATTATACGGAAAATTAACTAACGACCAGAGACGTAACAATATTTATCTTTTTATATCTATTTTCGTTTGCTATTTTCTTGAAGCAATTTAGAAAAAGCTTTTTGTCCATATAAGTTTTCATAGAAAGATGTTTAAGGGATGATATCACCTTGAAGATTCTCTAACTTTTATTAAAGGAAACAAACTGCCGCTAAAAATAGCCTAAGAATAATACAAGTTCATCTTCTTAGGCTTGGATACATTTACACGTTTGCCTAGAAGTTCGAACCCAACTCATGTGAAAATCGTCATGTTATTAACAGAGCTTCAGAACACCGAGTTAAATTATATTTTCCAAAAAACAACATTTCATCAATTTCTGTACTAGAATTCATTCATTAAGATATCCAAGTAGAATATTCAAACAGCAACGAAGAAAGTTGTCATCGTTGTTTAAGTGATAGACTATGTATTTTAAGCACAAATAATAGAACTAACAATTACTTATTAGAAACAAGTTTATAAACGTCAAAACAGGGGCACATACCTCCAATACAAGTGTGGGGGCAGTACTCCCTTCTGCGCCTTTATGCAACTTGAATTCGGAGTTTAGCTCCAAATAATGCAAATATTATTCGGCCTTTGTTTCACTATAACTCATAGAGTTATAACTTATATACCAAAATATGTATTTGCTTATATTAGACGAACCATAAAAGTAAATTAAATACTATACACATTAATTGGGCTCTATATTGAAAAACTTGATAAATTAAACTACATAACGTTTTTAGCTTTTCAACCATAAATATAAAATTCAAATACAATCCGAACCAAGCCTTTTTTTTTTAAAGTAATGACCCACTTCTTGGTCGTTGGTCAACCCATTATTATCAGCATTGATATCATATTCCTTGCAGTTGTCCTGGTATGGTGCAGGAAGTCGGTGAATTGTATTCTATATTAAAAAAAAAAAATGGGGGGATAAAAATATCATTAATTTGTAATACAAATTTTAGTTTTGAAGCGATTTTTTTAAAGATTTTTATGAAAAAAAGTACAAATGAATATTTAAAGGATTTTCTTACCGTTTAATAAACACATATTCAATACTTATGTCTCCCGGAAGGACAATGATAAGTCTAATGACTTAGAATGTGAAAATACGGGGGTTCAATTTTCCATGGTGTACACAGCATATACCTCATTGTGGCTTTACGGTAAGACAAACGAACAATCAAATCTGCGGACTTACAGCACCAGAAACTGGGTTTCGATACCCTTGGTGTGCAGAGCAGAGATAGCCCTTCGTATAGCTTTGTGATTAACTACAAACAATACTTCATTTTCATTAACTAAGTCTCAGAAGATAATACGAAGTTATTCTAATTATTTTGTTACACACAAAGCACTTTTATTATTTTTCATCGTTCTGTAACATAAACTTTTCAAGCTGATAGCTAGCTAGTATGACAAAAAGAAAAACAACTATAATAATAATTTTATACTGTGTTTGTCATAATATACGAGAAATGAGCAGATCTTAGCTACCTTCTTCAATGCCACTGATGTTTCAAACCCTGGACTGATATCCATCCCATGATATTCTGCCATTGGCTGTTCTCTTGGATCATGAATAACCACACGAGCCCCAACAGAGGGCGTGGAATACAAATAGTCATCAGTTTCCAAATTCAGCTCCAAAGTTAGTCCTTAAATACCAAAGAACAAGTTTATTTCATCTTATCTGAGTATAATTATTCAAAAAGAAAAGAAAAGAAAAATAACAGAGACATTTATTTTTTCATATTAAAATAAAATAAGTTAATTGTACCATGATACGACTTTCTAGTTTTGAGATGACTATAGACGAAAGGCTTGTTTGTTATAGATTTCGCGTAAAGCTACACGAGGGCTATCTGCGTTAGCCGTCCCTAATTTAGCAGTCTAAGACTAGAGGGAAGGCAGACAGCTAGTCATCACCACCTTGGGCTACTCTTTTACTAACGAATAGTGGGATTGACCGTCATATTATAACGCCCCCATGGGTGAAAGGGCGAGCATGTTTGTTGTGAAAAATATTCGAACCCGCGACCCACAGATTGCGAGTCGAGCGCCCTAACCACCTGGCCATGCCGAGCCGTAGACGAAAGGTCTCATATTTTACGAAAGGGAAGCCTTTGAGAGTGAAGCTATGTTTTTATATAATACTTATGGTGTTCTTGAGTCCATTCTGATTCAACACATGACAGTCTAAGTTATTTTATATGCGTGAATAATATTATGGCATTGCGTCTAATTTATTATTCAATATTATACTCCGCAACAACTTTTTAGATATTTCAGATTTACTTTCTTTTCACCAAAGATAAAATTGTAAATATAATCTGTAACGTAGAGGCCTAAAGCAAATAAAAGTACAGTTTAAGGACATAATTCGTATTTAAGATTCCATATCTAAATGCGTGTTACTAGACATGTTTATCATTTTACATCTCTACTAATAGTATGTTGATCAGTGGTTCCCAAACTTTTTTCACTCCTGGGATCGGCAAATTCTTGGTAAAAAGCTCTCAAACTGTTGCAAGTATAGACTATAGACTTTAATAATATTTATTCACCTACTTGCAATTATCATTATTTTTTTTCTTTCCTTTTAATTCTATGTTTCTGCAGACCAGTAAACACATTTCCGCGGACTTGTGTTGGGAACCCTTGATGAAGATTGCACTTATTAATTGAATACAGGAAATTTGCTCTCGCAGAAGTAAAAGTAAGAGAAAAACTATAGAAAAAAAACTGTTGAAACGGGTAGTTTCGCTGTAAATATGATCTTTACAAAAACATCCAGTGTTCTAATGTTTAATTATTCTCTTTAGTACAGCTTATTTTGCTTAACACAAAAGATATACAGAGGTAAAACGCCATACACATATTGTAAGATTTGTTCCAATCATTTAATGTATTTCTTTGTAGATTTTTTTTATTATTGTTTTAATCTCACTTCTATAGGAACTTCACCAGATTTTCTAGCTTTGAGTATGGAAACTGTTACACCTTCAATTCTGCTCTGGATAACTATAACTACACATTTTCCCCAATTGTGTCTCGTAGCGTTGGCTCTTTCAGCGGTATGTATGTATACACAAAAATTAAATTTTTGGTTGTTTAATAACAAAATATTATCCCATAAATAGATTATAGATAACATAATCAACGTAATTAAAAGATGTATTCTAAAAATGAACCATTGCATTTTATTGAAACTTTTAACGCTAGTTTCTGTTACGAGATGTTGTTTACTCATCACAGTGAAATTATATTTACAAAGATTTCAAAATTATGTAGAATTTATGCTAATAATTCATTATTGTGAATTATTCAACTGATAAACTGCTTAAAATACTAAATATAAATAAAGCCAAATCTATTATTCAAATTACCACTCGTCACCGTATTATACCGGAATTTCACTCCTCAAAATACCATACGTATACACTACACTACAGTATGAAACCTAGTCTTATTCTTTCGATTTGTTATTGGTTTCATGCTTATATTTAGCAAATCTTTCAATAGTTGGACGTACAGCAATACTTATATGAAATTAACTCGGGCAACAGTTGGAAATGTAACAATGCTTGCTTTTTTTTTTTTTAATTTCGTGCAAAGCTACACGAGGCTTATTTCCGCTAGCCTTCCCTAATTTAGCAGTGTAAGACTAGAGGGAAGGCAGCTAGTCATCACCACCCACCGCCAACTCTTGGGCTACTCTTTTACCAACGAATAGTGGGATTGACCGTCACATCATATCGCCCCCACGGCTGAAAGGGCGAGCATGATTGATGGGACGGGGATTCGAACCCGCGACCCTCAGATTGCGAGTCGAGCGCCTTATCCACCTGGCCATGCCGGGCCTGTAACAATATGAAATCTGGTAGGACGCGCTATAGATCATACATATTTTAACGAATCAGATTTTTGTGAGCAATTTGTTGACTGCGATGTTTTATTGAATGTAATTTTGTTACTTCCACATCAGATTAGTTCAACTTTTTTAGAAGACAGTTTACTGATCTTGAGGGGATAATGACTCGCTGTAAAAGTGTTGTCTATGTTTTTATTCCATTTTTTACTTGCTGATCGTGCGCATCTTATTTTAACTCCAGTTTACTTTTAAGTTTATTTTATCTTTCATCTTTCCATGTACATAAATTTTATTTCTTTATATTCTTTACAACGGAATATAGCGATCACCTTCTTGCATTATATATATATATATTTAGACTCAACACAATGTCTTGTCTCTTTCATTTCATTTGTAACAAATCGCTATGCCTGTCCTTGTGCACACACATATTTTTTTGGCGGCGAAAGAGTGACTGTGTGCTACGTTTATCCTCGGATTACCACAATTCGTAAGTCCAATCAGATATATGGTGTTTGAATTAATAGCATTTACCGCTGATCAGAAAATCAAATAAAAACGACATTTTAAAATTTTGCTTACGGAATCTTACAATTGTTTACGTAAAAATACCGATTAGCAAACTTATCTTTTCTAACTAGATTCCACCTGATCCCTGTTTCGAGGCAGCCACTACAAATGTTTATAATATTATTCCAAATAGCTCCGTCTAGTTTTTGCTTTTTAAATTAAAAATATTTGAACGTTCTGTTGTTTTTCGTTTAGTGCAAAGCGATACAATGAGTTACGTGCGCACTATCCATCACGGGGAATCACGGGGATTTCAGCGTTGTAAGTCCGGAAATTTGGCATTCTGCAAAGTGAACTGACAATCTTATAGAGTAGGCAAATTAAATTTAGTTGACTAAATTAGAAAAGAGCAATTTTTAGATATTATTTCAAGAAGTCTTGGTCAATATTCAAATGTAGTGACATCCGATGGCAGCATTATAGCTATATATTTCAAAGATCGGTCCCGATAGAAAATATGATATAATCTAAATAGTTTATTTTTTTTAATTCATAAATAAATATTTAACACCCGTAGATAAAGAAATGACCTGAAGAATAAGCCTAAACTAGTGGACATCCAACCAAGTTGTTGTTGTCACCAGATGCATTAAGGTTGAGAAAAAGATTAGGAAAAATTATTTTTGAGTAACTCGAGTTTATTTTAATAAAAGTTAACAACTTTTAGCAATTTCTGAAATTAAATGTGTTTGAAAACATTTGCCAAACGGCGCTATAGTTGCCGCCTTTATTTTTATTGGTTAGAAACTAATTAGCGGTTATGATTAGAAGTGCAAATACCAATATGCTAATTTAATATAGCGTACTGTAAATAATTACTTACGGATCATGGAAACGCATATAAGTTAGTTACTGTTCACTTGTAAATATTGGGACGGTTCTAGAATTGCGATCAAGTAAGATACAAGAAAACGTTTCTGATTGGGCTTTGTAAAAATCCTTGCAAAACGTAATTAGTGGCTGGAGGAGCACGTGACCTCATTTTCAGAAGAGACATATGCATTCAGCGAGATTGTTAAATGATGTAGAGCCAAAGAAATGAACTATTAGCGTTCTTCATAGAAGAGACAAAAGTTGTACAGCCGAATGTTTAGGACAGCAATATTTGAAATCTTACTTCAAGACAATTAGTATTATGACCCTTATCCACAAAGTGAAGGTTATGATTACAAAAGAGTGCCAAAGAACTAAAGAAATGAGGTTTGGTATATCTTCTGTTTCCATTAACAAGGATTTAAATATGACAAAGACTCACAGTCCAAAAGTTCGTACGCTTCCTCGAAAACAATAGCCGTTTCTATCAGAAAGTTGGACGAAAAAACTTGAGTCAAACAGTACCTCTTGACCACTTACCTGCCAAGTACCTTGATACAATTCCAATGGATTATTGTGTCTTTGGTGTACTTAAGCATGTGCTTGGATGTAGCAGACCTAAAACGTTGGCAAGTTTATGAAAAACTGCACAAGTGGAGTGGGAAAACGTTGAATAGGCCTGATCTCATGTAACTTCGTTACATGGTCATTATCAAGAAGCAATGGAAACAAAAAGAGCGCGATTTCTGGGAAAAATACGGTTTTAAGCATTAGTAAGTCGAAATTATAGTTTAAAAAAAAAGGGGGGGATGGCCACGTGTAATAACGTAAGAAATAAGTTTAAATACCAAGTGCCCCAAATCGGATTATTTCATTGAAGTTGGTGATTTTATTGACTGTTGTTTAACAGAACATGACCAACTATAAACATAAATGACAGATTTAATCGAAATATGTAATGGTGTTCGTACTATGCAGAAGTCATAGGACTTTTTGTTATATTGAAGTTAAAGATGGAGCCAAACGATGGCGCAACTTCTAAACGCAACAGCCCGAGAGCCGCTTATTATATTATACTAAACATGGCTTTTTTTTTTCTAGCCACTAATTTAGTTCAGACTTTCTCTAATGTGCTACAAATTTGTAATGATTAATTGAGATGTAGTTATTTTAATAACAGTCCAAAGCGTTCTCAAGTTACTAGACATAGAAATTCAAGCTTTGAGGTTAAATTGTGCATAGAGAACTTATGACATATTCAAAGACCTTAAAAGTTTAACGAATCGTTTGTTTGTTTCTCTGTTGTTGTTAAGCACAAACGTACATAATGGGTTATCTGTGCTGTGCCATCATGGGTATCGAAACCAGGTTTTTAGCGTTATAATCCTTCAAACCTGGCGTGAGCTACTGGTGGGCTTAACCAGTTGAGGTCAGAGAATTGGTGAATGTATTATATGTGTGTTTGTATACAATTTTTCTTTCATTAATTGAATTTATTATGCTGATATAAGCATTAGTTTTGTAAAACAAATTGTTACTATTCTCTCTAAGTTTTGTTCAGAGCTACATGTATTCATGCTGAATGAAAATATTTTTGAAAACTCGTTTCAGAATGGCTACAGATGGCACAGTGTTTGTCTCCTAATGCAAACTCCCAAAAATATGGAAAAGAAACCTTCTATTGGATATTTTTTGGTTCTGGTCAGCTATGAACGCGTGTTTGATAAGATATAAATGTGGAGTTCACAATGGTGCATCTTATGGGTTAACGTCAGAACTTAAGGATGCTGCATCTTAGGGGTTAACGTCAGAACTTAAGGATGCTGTATCTTAGGGGTTAACGTCAGGACTTAATGATGCTGCATCTTAGGGGTTAACGTCAGAACTTAATGATGTTAACGTCAGAAATTAATGATGCTGCATCATAGGGGTTAACGTCAGAACTTAATGATGCTGCATCTTAGGGGTTAACGTCAGAACTTAAGGATGCTGCATCTTAGGGGTTAAAGTCAGAACTTAAGGATGCTGCATCTTAGGGGTTAACGTCAGGACTTAATGATGCTGCATCTTAGGGGTTAACGTCAGAACTTAATGATGTTGCATCTTAGGGGTTAACGTCAGAAATTAATGATGCTGCATGATAGGGGTTAACATCAGGACTTAATGATGCTGCATCTTAGGGGTTAACGTCAATTATGAATGAGGTAAATAAATCTTCCATTTGTAAGTTAAGCTGATTACAGATTAAAGAGTTGGTTTAAATTTCTGATTCTGTGCTTGGCTTTAAAGTAATTTAAGAATGGGGAAATTATAAGTAATATTTATATTTTACTCCAAAAATGGTAATGCATTAACTATTCATATAGAGAAAGTCCAAAAAAGCATCTGAGAGCTCAGCGGTAAGTCTGATGGCTTATATCACTAAAAATCGGGTTTCTATTCTAGCGATAGACAAAATACTAATAGTCCATTATATAGCTTCTAGCTTAATAACAAGCAAACAAACACTCTGCACATATTAAAAATTAATGTGCGCGCGCATACACACAGTGAGCTAAACGCAAGTTCAAAATTTGTGTAAAATCTCGTATTCTACACTTAATGCCTTTAACACTTACAATGGACTACACTAAACCCCTATAAGACTCATAATGGCATATACTCAACGCCTTTAATACTTACAATGGGCTACATTTAACCCCTATAAGACTCATAATGGCATATACTCAACGCCTTTAATATTTACAATGGGCTACACTTAACCCCTATAAGACTCATAATGCGATATACTCAACGCCTTTAATACTTACAATGGGTTACACTTAACCTCTATAAAACTCATAATGCGATATACTCAACGCATTTAACACTTACAATTGACTACACTTAACCTCTATAAGACTCGATGCTTTTAACACTCACAATGAGCTACATTTAATACCTTTAACACTTAAAATAGGCTACACGTACGTCCTTCAATAAACACACAATGGGCTACACTTAATGTCTTTAAAATCCACAATGAGCTACACTTAACACCTTTATCACTCACATTGACCTATAACCTTTAAAACCCATAACGGTTTATATTAGAACCCAATGAGTCCACTCAACAATAATGATGAGCTACATTTATAACATTTAACACCCACAATGGGCTACACTTAACACTAATGTTGAGCTACATTTAGAACATTTAACACTCACAATGAGCTACATTTAATACCTTTAACACTTAAAATAGGCTACACGTACGTCTTTCAATAAACACACAACGGGCTACACTTAATGTCTTTAAAATCCATGATGAGCTACAAAATAATGATAAGCTACATTTATAACATTTAACACTCACAATGGGCTACACTTAACACTAATATTGAGCTACATTTAGAACATTTAATACTCACAATGGGCTACACTTAACACTAATGATGAGCTACATTTATAACATTTGACACTCACAATGGGCTACACTTAACACTAATATTGAGCTACACTTAGAACATTTAACACTCACAATGGGCTACACTTAACACTAATGTTGAGCTACATCTAGAACATTTAACACTCACAATGGGCTACACTTAACACTAATGTTGAGCTACATTTAGAACATTTAACACTCACAATGGGCTACACTTAACACTAATGTTGAGCTACATTTAACACTCACATTGGGCTACATTTAACACCTTCAAAAGTGCATCCTATAATAAAGTTTTCAGCGGAGTGTCCGAGTTCTTTCCTCGCCAGGTCCGGCAGTTTTGCATACTCATTTATGAATTCTTGTAGATTGATACGTTCTTCAGACAAAATGTCGTGACAGGAGGCGTACTTCCTTCGAACATCCTAAAAATGTTAACAACGAATTCGTATTACTTCACATAATTCTATATTTGTAATTGTGTAAAAACGTAAAAAATAGTGCGTTTTCTCTCAGAAAATATTACATTACTCATAAAAAAAAGGATGCTTCTAGTTTTTGGAATGAAATCTAGTCACGTTTTTCATTTTATTATTTTGTTTATTTTTTCAGATACAGTTTCATTTACTCGTGTGTGGATACAGTTTACCTGTTCACTTTTAATTTTACACAGTACAACGCGAAAAGTCCACTACTTAAAATATCAGCCAATTTGAATGTTACTGCTTTCTTCATCAATAAGTTATTCGTTTCATTTTTGTCTTTTTTTTATACCACCTAAAACAAATTGCTACACCTGACTTTTCATAATTTTCATGAATTTCAAGTTATTGCAAATATTAAGAACTTGTGTATGTGCCTTGAAATAGTACAATAATAATACTTTCTTGAAACTGTTTATCTAAAATTTTATCTCAACTAAAGTTTGTTTGTTTGTTATGCACAAAGCTACACAAGGGCTATCTGTG